GCACAAATTTTTGTGCACCGGGCCTCTAGTTTATTTATATAAAAAAAAAAGTTCCGTCATTTTGACGTATGTACATATGTGCTTTATGTTTTTTATTATTTATTTACCACAAGTAAAGGTCAGGAATTGTTATCTTTCTTTTAATTTTTTTTTTAAATTTACTGTTTCACTTCATTACTGCTGTGCATGTGCTCGATGTGAGTGACGTAGATGCTTATGTAGGTGGGTTCTGACTTACGGCGAAAATCGCATTACTTTGCACCGTAGGAATGGATCTCTGATATAACCCGAGGACTTACTGTATTTACTAAGTAAATAATTACTTAGTACTAAAAAAAATTTTTAAAAATTTGCCTTTTTCACTGTGTTGACATTTGCTCTGACGATGCAAAAGCAATGGTAGGGTAAAACTGCTTGCTGGTGCATTAACACAGCATATCAAGGCAAAGCTAAGCCCCAGACTGTATTCATGCTCATTGTATTTACCTCTATTCACTACAGGGGAAAAAACCATTTTCACTAAAGAGTGTCTTTGATAAAACAGTAAAAATGATTATTCTAAATATCTTGTTCCTTGAGTATTCTTTTTAAAATATGTTGTGAAGAAATGAGGAATATGCATAAAACACTTCGTCTAGTTGTCTCAAGGAAAAGAAAAGCAATTTTTTTTTAACTTGAAAGAAAAACTGATAGACAAACTATAGTTATGTAGAATTGGGTATTGGCAGACATTTTCTCAAATGAACTGAGATTGTCATTTAAAGGAAAATATTTGGCAGCATTCGCTGCCTTTAATAAAATTCAAACTTTAAAAGAAAATTGGAATTTTAGAAAATTTATAATTCACCACTAAGAGCTTGGCAGCATCTCAAAAAATAAATATGACTTTTTTTGATAAGATAAATGTTTATATTAATGTCATTAAAAATAATTACATTATAAAAAATGAAATCATGGAAGTACTCGAATAACACATAGGTGATTCTTTAATATGTGTGAAAGAGTATTCTGATAAAAAAATTAGAAAAGATTGTTAAATTTGATTGCATTAAAATTAATGTGAAACATAAAAACAAATGGTACTAGCAAGAAAAATATGAAGAAGGGATGATATTGTTAGTATATAAAGCACACTTACACATTAATAAGAAAATATGCTTGTCCTAATGGAAATATGGGCAAATACATGAGTAGGCAGTTCACAAAAGAAGAGATACAAATTAAATATGAACAAATGTTCAATTTTATTTGTAATTAAAGGCTTAAAATTAGATTTTACTTAATTTTATTAAATTGGCAAATACTAAAATTGATAATAGTTCCTAGTATTAAATCAGCAATTCTTGGTAGATGGGAGGAACTGGTGTATCTCTTTTTTTAATATGTATTAATTTTTATTGATTTTAGAGAGAGAAAATCATTGATCTGCTGCCTCTTGTACACCTCCCATTGGGGATCGAGCCCGAAACTCAGGCATTGCCCTAACCAGGAATTACACTAGGACCTCCTGGTTCATAGGTCAATCCTCAACCACTGAGCTGTGCCAGCTGGGCAGAAATGGTATCTTTTGATGAAAGTGGCTATATAGTTTGAGAATTTCGTGTTTCAAAGAAAATCCTCTTTGAAATGCCTATTGATCTAAGTTACAGGTTTTCAGTACTACCTACACAGTAAAATCACCTAGGAGCATTTATAAAAAAATACTGATTTCTGGATCCCCAAAATAGATACCAGGCCCAAAAGATATTGTAAAGAAATGTATAGTAAGCTATGGGAGCACAGAGGAAAGGATCTCTTAACAATTGGCTGAGGAATTGAATGTTTGGACAGTTAGTATTGCCTGGGCTCAAAATTGAAGCGTGAGTAAAAATTGCCATGTGATCCAGGGGCTGGGGTATGCAGAAAGGGAAAACTGAGAATTTGAACAGAAGGAAGAGCATGTGCAGTGGCTCAGCCATGCAAATAGGAGTCATTTAGGGGTTTATATGAATTTTAGCAAAGCATTTATAAGTATTTCTAACAAAACACCTGATATGTAGAAGTGCTAAGTGAATGTTTATTGTATTCATTTTGTTCTCTATCCACTTTCTACAGTGCCTGTTACTTATTAGATATGCAATTAAAAATAAATAATTTCAAAATGAATATATAGTGATGAGGAGCATTTTGTCAAATTGCAGTCAATGCTTTTAAATGTATTCTTTTACCCAATGGTTCTGCATGGAGAATAAGTTCCTTAAAACTCCTTCCCTCTGATCACATTTTATAATTTTAAGAGATATTCTTATTGATTTTTTTTTTTGAGAGACAGAGACATTGATGTGAGAGCACATCATCCATCAGCTGCCTCCTTGCAAGTTCCATACCCAGGATTCAGCCTGCAACCTTTTGGTGTATGGATGATGCTTAACCAATTGAGGACAGCAGCCAGGGCTACAGTTTTCTCTAGAGTTTTTTTTTTTTTTTTTTTTTTAACCCTATGCATGATCAGATTCTGCATTATCAAGAGTTGCTCACACTCTCATTTTCCCCTTTTTGTTGTAGTGTTGTAATGCAGATCTCAAGTGTTGTCTCCCTCTATGCCAGCGGTTCTCAACCTGTGGGTCACGACCCCTTTGGGGGTGGAACGACCCTTTCACAGGCGTCGCCTAAGACCATTCTGCATATCAGATATTTACAATACGATTCATAACAGTAGCAACATTACAGTTATGAAGTAGCAATGAAAATAATTTTATGGTTGGGTCACAACATGAGGAACTGTATTTAAAGGGCCAGAAGTTTGAGAACCACTGCTCTACATACTTCTGTGTGAATTTCCAAAAACTGGACATTTTCATATCAAATAAATAATATTGCCATTGTTAACTTAGAAAATAAATCTCCCCGATTGTCTCAGAAGTATTGGTATTATGGTTTATTTGAATTAGTATTCATACTTGGTCCACACATGGTTCCATCCATACATGGTCCCATTTAGTTATTTTGCTGCTTAGTCTCTTAACCTAGTTTTCCCAACCTCCTCTTTTTTTCATTTTATTTTTTTGTTTTATTTATTTTTTAATTGATTTCAGAGAGGAAGTGAGAGGGGGGAGAAAGATAGAAACATTAGTGATGAGAGAGAACCACCAATCGGCTGCCTCCTGCATGCCCCCTACTGGGGATCGAGACCACAACCCAGGCATGTGCCCCTGACCGGAATTGAACCTGGGACCTTTCAGTCCGCAGACCAATGCTCTATCCACTGAGCCAAACCAGTTAGGGCCCAACCTCCTCTTTTTTATGTGTTTTTCTTGTCATTTACTTTTTCAGAAACCAGGGAAGTTTTCCTATAGATTGTTCAGTATTTTAGATTTGTCACTTTGCTTCCTTGTGGTGTCTTTAAACTTGTTCAAATTCCTCATGTTTCTGTAATTGGAAGTAAACCCCCAGAGCTGTGTTATCCTTATGGTATCTACTAGCCCCATGCAGCTATTTAAATGGAAACCAATTAAAATTGAATAAAATTAAAAACTCAGTTCCTTTTACTCAGTTGCCACTTGGGGCTAGTGGCTACTGTATTAGCTAGCTCAGCTTATAGAAACTCCATCATCAAAGGAAGTTCTGTTTGATAATGTTACTTTTAATAGTTTTAGTAAATAGTTTTATCTATCCTTCCATCCTAGTCCCCTTATCTATCTTTTGATTAGATTTAGGACCATCTTTTTGTAAGAATACTTAAGTGGTACTTTGTGCTTGCTAAGATTGTTCAGTGAGTTTAGGTGTTGATAGCTTGATCTCTCCATGTATCTTTTCACAAGCATTAAGAGTTTTGTTTCCATTCTGAGTAAAATGTCAAAACAGATAACTTGAGAAAAATAGGTACAATTTTTAAAGTTTAACATTGGGTTAAACATTGTTCACATAAAAGCTTATACACAAATGTTCATAGCATTATTTAAAATAGCCAAAAGTAGAAACAACCAGATGTCCATCAACTGATGAGTGGATAAACAAAATGTGGCATATCCATACAATAGACACTGAGTGGCCAGATTATTATGACCACCCCATCAGTACTTCATTGACACTTCCAAAAATACTGAATATTGAAAACTTCCTAAGAAAATACTCTCAATGCTTTATTATTATTATTATTTGCATAACTAATTCACTTTATTGTACTGATGGGGTGGTCATAATAATCTGGCTGGTCATAATAGTCTGGCCACTCAGTGTATATTATTCAGCCATAAAAAAGGAATGAAGTATGCCCAGCCAGGTGTGGCTCAGTGATTGAGGGTAGACCCAGGAACCAAGAGGTCACCAGTTCAATTCCTGATCAGGGCATATGCCCAGGTTGTGGGCTCGATCCCCAGTAGGGGGCGTGCAGGAGGCAGCCAATCAATGATTCTCTCTCATCATTGGTGTTTCTATCTCTCTCTCCCTCTCCCTTCCTCCCTGAAATCAATACAAATACATTTTTTTTAAAAAAGGAATGAAGAACAACTAATACATGCTATAATATGGATGAACCTGGAAAACTTTATGCTAAGTTAAAGAAGCTAACACGAAAGGCCACATACTGTATGATTCCAGTCTTATGAAATGTGCAGAATAGGCAAATCCATAAAGTAGATTAGTGGTTTCCAGGGCCTAGGGGAAGAGAAGGAAATGGAGAGTGACTGTTACTAGGTACAGAGTTTCATCACAGGATGATGAAAATGTTCTGGAGTTAAATAATGGTGTAGGTTGCAAAACCCTGTGAATATACTAAACAAAACCATTGAACTGTACACTTTATTTTTAAAAAAATACATTTTATTGATTTCTTTTATTGATTTTTTTTACAGAGAGGAAGGGAGGGGGATAGAGAGTTAGAAACATCGATGAGAGAGAAACATCGATCATCTGCCTCCTGCACGCTCCCTACTGGGGATGTGCCCACAACCAAGGTACATGCCCTTGACCGGACTCGAACCTGGGACCCTTGAGTCTGCAGGCTGACGCTCTGTCCACTGAGCCAAACCGGTTAGGGCTGAACTGTACACTTTGAAAGGATAAATTTTATATTGTGAGAATTTGAAAAAGTCATAACTAGGAAGAAAATTGATTTCTAAAAAATCCAGAAGAGGAGAGTGACATGATCATTAATTTGTGGTGAATAAATGGGATTTTTGTGTAGGGAGGAGCTAGAGTTTCACTGATTAGCAATTAGGAAAATTATTCATCATTGAAAATATAAAACCTTTTCCTATGTAACATATGTAAACAATTTGCCAAGAAATGTGTGAAAAAATTAAAGAATAGTTATTGAACAAAATATTAAGAAACAACTGTTAAATAGTGCTTTTAATCAAAACATGAAGTAAATACTGGAGCAGGATGGAGTGGTTGTTCTCAGCATGTTATACCTTTTAATCTTATCAACTTTGTATATAAAAGTTAGCACTGTTTTCTTATTTACTCTAATATTGAACATTAATTTTAATCATGAACTATTTTTCTCTTCAGGATGATACGTATACAGAAAGTTACATCAGTACTATTGGTGTGGATTTCAAAATAAGAACTATAGAATTAGATGGGAAAACGATCAAGCTTCAAATAGTAAGTAATTTTTGAAAAAAAATTATTTTGATAAATTTAGAATGTATTATTTATTTTTTAATATTTAACAAAATTAAATTTGAAGTATTTTAAGCATTATGCATCCATAATAGAGTGGTAGAATAAGAATTTTTCAGATTAAAAATGACTTGTCTAAGATTATCTTCCTCATTGAATTTCCTATTCATAAAGCAGAGAAATACATGTTTTAAGTCAAACTTGTTCTTTTTTTTGTGCTTTTATCAGTGGGGTCTAAGTTGAACTTTACCTTGTCTTATAGCAAAAGTATGTTGAACATTTTGTCTATGTCTTTTACTGTGTTGAGTACTATGGAACATGAAAAGAACTAGGGAGAGGTTCTTCATATGTGGCTTAATTGAGTACAGTTGACCCTTGAACAATGTGAGTGTTAACTGTGCAGACCCACTTATACACCGATTTTTTCCCAGTTGACTCATGCAGTTCATTTGACCTAGGCAGTTCAAACCCAGATTGTTCAAGGGTCATCTGGTGGTTGGGAATCCACACGTGTGGAGTACAGACTTAAGTTATTGGCGAATTTTTGCACTGATGATTGGCATCTCTAATTCCTGGGTTATTCAAGGGTCACCTGTATTTTTTTTATTTCTGTTGTATTTATTATGTAGTATTTACCAACTCTTAGAAACAGAATTTTATCTGAAAGGAACTTAGCTTTTCTAATTTGTTGCATAACTCAGAAATCGATGCTGATTTAATTATTTGCCTGTAGTTCGTAGCAGAACCAAGTGGCCCATAGCTCTGCCTTCAATATTTTGTGTCCTTGTTCCATCCTAGTCCCCTTATCTATCCTTACAACCCCAACCCCAAATTAAAAGTAGGCAATTGTAGTAGTTCAATTATTATCACTTCAATATGGGTCTGGGACGATCAATGTGGACATATCTGTGGTCTTTAAAAATAATCTCTGGATATCTTTTAGAGCTGGCTATTAGTATTAAGTAACATAGAAAACTAGTGACTGTTCTTTTTTATGGAATTGGTAATACACTGAACTGGGAATTCTGGATTTGGAGTCAGAAAACTTGGATTTGGTATCTTCATTCTGGTATTTACTAGTTATAGAGTTATGGGTTTAACTTTAGCCTTTTTCCTGAGACTGTTTCTTATATCCAAAATGAATGTGAAAATACTTGATTTATGAACAAATAAGGTAATTGTGAGAACCAAATCTGGTAGCTTTGTGTATGTGTATACAATAATGTATGTGAAAGCCCTTTGTAAACTTTTGGGCAGTACAGTAGTCCCCCCTTATTCTAAGACCCCCAGGGGATGTCTGAAACCACAGATAGTATAGAACCCTATATATACTGTTTTTTTCCCTATGCTATGTACACACACCTATGATAAAGTTTATAAATAAGGCACAGTATGATATTAACAATCTATAATAATAAATCTATAATAATGAAAGCATAATATGCTAATTAGACTGGACGTCCTTCTGGACAAAGTCAGGGCTGTGAGGGAAGCTTGGGTCACAGGTATGCTGGTGGCCAGAGGGAAGCCCGGGTCCCAGGTGCCAGAGGGAAGCCAGTGCCAGCAGCCGGGGAAAGGAAAGCCTACTCTGGCACAAATTGCGTGCATTGGGCCTTTAGTATCCTATATAATAAAAGGCTAATATGCAAATAGACTGAACAGCAGAACAACTGGTCGCTATGATGTGTGCTGACCACCAGGGGGCTCATGCAGAATATGGCGGGTGTTGGCCACGGCGTGGTGGTGGAGCAGGTTAGTGGAGGTGCCAGACTAAGGCGGAGCACCAATCGCTGTCATCAGGGTGAGCCTCTGGTGGTTACTGAAAATTCTTTGTTCCCATATACCCCGGTCCCGCCAGTCACTCACACCTGTTGCCAGTGCTGGCCCTGCTTGCACCCACAGCTGGCGCCAGAGCCACTGCTCACATCCACTGCTGGTGCCCGGCGCTGGTCCCGATCACTTAGCGCCATCAGTGTGTGCGAGCGGTGGCTGCCAGCCCTGATCTCCCCTGAGGGCTTCTCCATCTCCCCCTGTTCCTGAGGGGTGATAGGAGCAGCAGCCACCATTCACACCTGCTGATGGTGCCGGCCCGGTTTCCACCCGCTACTGGCACCGGCCACAATTGCTCTGCGCCACCGTCAGCGCATGGGAGCTGTGGCAGCAGAAGTGGGGTTGCCAACAGACAGGGGACTGGGGGGGATGGTGGGAGGGGCCAGGCAGGGGCACGGAGGATGGGCCGAGACCCGCCCCTGTACCTACCGCAGCCTCTCGGCCCCCCACAGTTCCTTTCAAGGTGCATGAATTCGTGCACTGGGCCCCTAGTACTATAGTAAGAGATATGTGAATGTGGTCTCTTAAGATGATACAGTGCCTACGTGATGAAGTGAGTTAGATATGCTGAATGAAGGGGATGATTCAGGTCAGGGGTAGGACTGAGTGTAATGATTTCTGGCACAGCTCAGAACAGCATGCAATTTAAAACTTCGGAATTATTTCTGGAATTTCCACTTAAAGTTTTTTTTAACCATGGTTGTCTGCTGGTATCTGAAACTGTGGATAAAGGAGGGACTATTGTATACAAATGTTACTGAAGATATGACATTTTTCCAGAGAGGTAATATTTTTTTAGTTCCTCCCTATATGACTGATGAGGGGGAAAAAGGTACATTAAAAAAGAACTGTTGTTTTTGCTATAAGTTAACACACTTGGCATTCCAAATTAGGACTTGCAAGGATATAATTTTCTGAGTGTGTGTGAAATACTTTAAACCAGCCTTCCATATTGATCCCCCCAATTATATGTAGAACTTTATACTTGGCACCACCTAAAGTAAGAGCCATGTTTCAGAAAGCTGCACCCAAGCTTCTTAACTACTGATATGAAATGGTTGTATGTGTGATTATTGGTCTCCATAAGGTTTGAATATATATTTGTGAAACATTCATATAGTGCTACTTTCTTATAGCTGGAATGGTTCATAATAGGTCATTCTTTGAGTCTTTCTTTGTCTTTGGGAGTAATTTCCTTTCCCTATTTGAACATTTTTGGGAAGCTAGCCAGTTTTTCAAATAAGCTAGTTCCATTTGTAAATAACCTCTAATTGTTAACTCTTTATGTTGAGCTGAAGCCAGTTTCCGTTCACTTCTAGCTCTTATTCCTCTGCCTTTTGGAGCTTCCTGAATGAGATTAATTTCTTTTCTGTTGCACCTGCCTTTATTTATTTTATTTTATTTTATTGCCCTTTATTTTTATTTTGTAATTTTATTTTTTAAAAATTTTTTATTTTTAAATTACATTTGACATATAATGTATTATATTAGTTTCAGGTGTACAAACCAGTGATTATACAAATAATTTACTAAGTGATTATCCGGATAAATCTTGTACCCATCTTATACCTTAGTTACTAGAATATTATTGATTATATCCTTTTTGCTGTACTTTACATTCCCATGACTATTCTTAACTATCAATTTGTACTTCCTAATAATCCCTTCCCCTTTTTTACCCATCTCCCCAACCCCCCCTCCCATCTGGCAAACATCAAAATGTTTTGTCTATGAGTCTGTTTCTGCTCTGCTTGTTTATTTTGTTTTTTAGATGTTTGACAGATATTTATTGCCATTTTATTGTTCATATTTTTAATCTTTTTTTTTCTTTTTTAAAGAAGATCCTTTAACATTTCATGCAATACTGGTTTGGTGGTGATGAACTTTAGCTTTTTCTTGTCTGGGATGCCCTTTATTCTTTGATTCTTAATGGTAGCTTTACTGGGTAGAGTAATATTGGTTGTAGGTCCTTCCTTTTCATCACTTTGAATATTTCTTGCCAATTCCTTCTGGCTTGGAAAGTTTCTGTTGAGAAACCAGCGGATATTCTTATGGGAGCTCCCTTGTAGTTATCTGCTTTTTTCTTGCTGCCTTTTTATTGAATTCAGAGAGGAAGGAAGAGGGAGAGAGATACAGAGACATCAGTGATGTGAGATAATTAATTGGCTGCCTCCTGCATCCCCTACTGGTGATCAAGCCCACAACCTGGGCATGTGCCCTGAACGGGAATCAAACATGACCTCCTGGTTCATAGGCTGTGCTCAACCACTGAGCCACACCAGTTGAACTTTTCTTCCTTCTTTTAAGATTCTCTTTGTCTTTAACCTTTTGTATTTTAATTATGTGTCTTGGTATGAGCCTCTTTGGGTTCATCTTGTTTGGGACTTTCTGTACTTTCTGGATTTGTATGTCTATTTCCTTCACCAGGTTAGGGAAATTTTCTGTCACCATGTTTTCACATAGGTTTTCAATTTCTTGCTCTCTCTCTTCTCCTTCCAGCACCCCCATGATGCAAATGTTGGTATGCTTGAAGTTGTTCAGAGGCTCCTTACACTACCTTTTTTCTTTTTATTCTTTGGATTGGGTGTTTTCTTGAGAGTTTTTTTTTGTTGTTTGTTTGTTGCTTTTATTCCAAATCACTGATTTGATTCTTGGCTACATCTATTTTACGATTGATTCCCTGTAAATTATTCATTTCAATTAGTATATTCTTTTTTATGGTTTCCATGTCTTTTTATGTTTTCACTAAGTTCATCTATTTTTTTCTCTAAGTTCATTGAGCATTCTTATAACCAGTGTTTTGAATTTTACATCTAATAGATTGCTTGTCTCCATTTTGTTTAGTTGTTTTTCTGGAGTTTTGTTTTGTTCTTTCATTTGGAACATGTTTCTTCTCATTTTGGCAGAGCCCTCCACCCCCCATGTTTGTTTCTTTGTATTAGGTAGAGCTGCTAGGTCTCCCAGGCTTGATAGAGTAGCTTAATGTAGTAGGTGTGCTGTACAGTCCAGTGGCACTCCAAGCGCACCCCTTGTGTGGGCTATGTACGCCCTCTTGTAGTTGAGCCTTGATTGCTATTGGCATGTCAGTGGGAGGGATTTACTCATGGGCTTATTGGCTACGAGGACAGGCTGTGAATACACGGTGGAGGGTC